GAGGGGGGCGGACGCCTGGGTTCCCCCTTGGCTCTGGGCAGAGAGCCTAGTCCTGGATCCCTTCACCACCACCACCCAGGGGACCCCACTGACTTCCCGCCCCCGCCCCCAGCTCCCCTTCTCCGTGATCGGCTCCCTGAACGGCGTCCACATGTTTGGCTCTAACCTGGACGTGGCGCTGACAGCCGCCCGCACGGAGGGCACCCGCGTGCTGTGGAGGGCCTTTCATGAGAGGTGGGGCCTGGCCTGGGGCAGAGGGAGGGGACGACAGGTCTAGCTGGAGGGGGGAGCGAGTCTGGCAGGGAGGGGGCAGGTGTTTAGCCTGAGGGAGGGGAGCAGGGCTCCAGGGAGGGCAGGGGGTCCATTTGGGGCTGGCCCTGAAGGGCTATGTTGCAGGACAGGGCCATTACCACCCCCAGCTTGGTTTTTCCAGCATCACCCTCATTGTGATTTCATCAGAGGAAGGTGCTAGTGACTTCACCCTCAGCCGACTCCTGGACAACGTGTTCAGTGTCATGGTAAGCCTCCCCGCCCCCATTTTCCTATGCCCCTATCCCTTTCCTTCCCCCAGCAAAGTCCATGGAGCTACCCTCCTTCCGCCATACCCCACCTTCCTGCTCTAACATCCAGCCCCCATCCCTATCCTTCCAGAGGGGGGTGCTGTCACATGACCCCTCTACACAAAGGGTCCCTAGGGGGCTGAGGGGGAGGCTAGGAAGTGTACCCACATTCCCATCTTCCCTTAGAGGACCCTAGGCCCGTGCACGCATATGTATATGTACATGCACAGAGCTGTATCCTCACACAGCTGCCCTGGTGCAACCCTGCCCCCCAGCCCCTCAGTGTGTCAGGCTGATGGGCTTGGGGCCTGGTTCCAGGTGCTGGTGCTGGGCCTGGAGGAATTGGCAAATATCCGCAATGTGGAGCGCCTTAAAAAGGACCTGAGGGTAAGTGATGGAAGGGCAGAGCAGGATGCCCCAACTGCCCTGGACGTGGGGTGGGGCAACAGGGCCATATGCCCCTGCCCTGAGCTGGTGTGGGGCTGAGCCCTACTCCACCCTTCCCCCCACCTACAACCAGGCCTGCTACAAGCTCATTGACAGCTTCCTGATGCCTGGAGAGCGCACTGGGGACCTGACGCACTGTGTGGAGTGTGTGCTTGTGCCCTGTAGCACCATCCTGCAGGTGAGAGCTCCACTGTGGCCCACGCCCTACTTTTATCCCCTGGAGGGACCTTGGTGCCCTGGCCCACAGGCACGGGGGTAGGGACAAACAGGAATGAGCAGAAGGCTGGGATGTTGGAGCAAGTGGGGTTCCAGGGGAGGGGCAACTACTACTGGGACCAGGACAAGGAAGGAGCTGCCCTGCCTTGACCCCTCCTCCTCCTAACCCCCCTCTTCCAGGAATGC